ATTGCTCTAATTATTTTAGAATATATAATTAAACTACTGATGCCAACATTTATCAAAAATTACATTTAATTTAAAATACAATTATTTATTTGCTAAATATTGTCGCAGCGTCTTTCCACCAAATAACAGAAAAGTATCGATAGTGGTATCGATAAAGACTCGGATCGATAAGGAGTATCGATATCAATAAATATTAACCATCCCCATCCCTAGTCAGGACACGCCGTCATGCGGACAGAGGGACGCCCCCCCGGTCAGAGCAGCTCACCTGCTGAGTAAGAACTGGGAGCTGTGGGCCGGGTGCTGCGTGGGCTCGGGGGGGCCCGGGTTGGGGCTGGGGTTGGCGGCGTGGTTGGCGCCGGGCGTGGGGTTGTGGGCGGAGGAGGCGGAGTTGGTGTTGAGGATGGCGTTGGCGCGCCCGCCCCCCCGGCTGGCGTTGCGGGCCGTCTCCAGCTGCTGGCGCGCCGCCTGCGCCTGCTGGCGCTCCAGCTGCAGCTGCATCTGGAGCTGCTGCAGCTGCGAGGCCGACGGGCCCGAGCTCAGCTGCCCCCCCGCCGAGCGCCGCACCCCCGACAGCTGGGAGAGGAGCTCTGAGGGGGGCAGGGACCAGAGAATACCGTCAGAGAATATGATTATGGGGTGTGTGTGTGTGTGTGTGTGCTGCTCCACAGCAAACCATTAAAGACCAGTTAATGGCTGCACAGCTACCACTACCAAAGAAAAACTAAACCAGAGACGGATCATGGATAACCTAGCAGAGTAGAGCCTCTACTTACGATGGCCTAAACTTTTCCGACATCCGAAGTGAAAATCGATTAAATATTTGACTCGACACAAAAAGTACATTTCAAACATATGACGTCCAAGTCATAGATAAAAATAAATATAAAAATTAAATACAATTTTACATCTCTTTTATATAATGCATTTGTTCATAATAATTTTCCAAAGTCAGAATTTGGGCCCTGTCGCAGAAGTGCACTTGCTGAGCACGGGCCGTGGTTACGGCCCAGCTGGAGCCGGGCGCCAGACGCCATCCACTCGACCGCGGTCAAAGTGGGACCGGGATGGTCAGGCATCTGCTCACAGGCACACAGTCCAGACCTTTTCTGGTCCGGCATTAGAGTCAAGTTAGCGGTGCTGTGCTGCACCGGCTCTCCGTGTGAGCCCCCCCCCCCGGCTGTGTTTGGAACTGTAAAGCTGGGCCGGTTCGCCCTATCCTGGGTCTTTCATTTCATAAGACGCCACACGTCTTGGACTGGAGCCCCTCTGGACAGCAGGGGGGCCGCCACGGCTCTGACAGCAGAGCCTGGCTGACTAAGCCTTTTTCAGATTTTTTCTTTTTTTTCTACTTTAAATTGTTATTTTTAATAAACTCCCCCCATTCTTTCCCAGCGACAGCCCCCTGAGATTTTCTTCTGATTGTGTTTTTTCTTTTCTTCTCATTGTTTGGTGTTTGACCTGCCCGGCTCCTCTGAGCCCCCCCCTCTGACCTGCTATGGGGTCCATGGCCTCCCGGCTGTAGTTGGAGCTCTGTGAGGAGCTCTGGCTGGTGGAGAGCCCCCCGGTGGTGCTGCTGGTGAAATGCATGTTGGACCTACGGGCCCGCGGGCCCCCCAGCCCGCGGCCGGGGTGGAACATCCTCCTCACGTGCCGCACCCCGCTGGACTCGTCGTGGCGTTCGCCGTCAAGGAAAAGCTTTTCAGAGCAGCAGATGCGGAGGAGCACGGCGTGGGCTCGTTCAACACACCGGAGAGACCTCTGACATTTGAGGGCCCGCTGTGAAAGCCGCGCCTAAAATGCTCCGAACCGCTCAGAGCCGGCATATTTTGCATCTCGTTTCTGTGTCACTGCCGGCTTATGCAAAAGACGCAGAGCAGGCCGGCCGACAAAGCCAGAAACTCTGGGTTTCATTTAGGCAAGTGTCTGCCTCTGTTTGTTTTTTTCCTCCCCACAGCATTTGTTCGAAGCTCTATAAATAGAGCCGGCTGCTGCTGTTGTCACTCCTCAGTCTGGAGCCGGCCGACGCGCTCCGGAACAGACAGGTAGTCTTTCTGTCGGAGCGGGAGCCGATTGACCGCCGCGTTCCAGCGCTGCATTGCGGCTGACCGGAGAACTCATTCACAGACCAAAATCCTTTTTTTCCCTCTCAGGAACCAAAGGAGTGTTCAATTTGGGAGTGTAAATAGCCAACAGCTTCCAGCGGAGCTTCTTAATAAGACCACTCGCCTCTCTTTTTTTTTACTTTTAAAAGAGAAACAAACTAACTGTCCTTTCTACGGCCCTGGTGATCACTGCTTCCTGCAGAGGCACCAGGTTATTACATATTATAAAGATATCAGAGGGAGCCACAGATAAGGATTTTATCCTCTGTGGTTATGTGATTTTAACACTATGTTCATCTATCATTATATCCACAAATGTCAGAGTCAGAGCTCGTGTGAGCTATATGAAACTGGTTGTGAGCGGCGCTCCGTGCAGCTGGTTCAGGCTGAAGCACTGCTTGAAAAGGATATCAAGTCTCTGGGAGCTCTGTGTTCAAGTGTGAGATGAGCAGCGAAGTCATCGGTCACGTGGTTGGGGTCGCCTCCTGGCAGCGCTGCACATATGGGACAGATCTAGAGGACGGGAGGAGAGAGCGCGCACGTTAACGACGGCCAAACTTCGCCACACATTCAACACTGAGCAGATGGTGCTGGAGGCTCCTGGACGAGCACCCAGGTGGGAATATTTTCCTCTGCGACGTGGAGGGATGCGGTCTGCAGCGAGCCCCACCGCAAAACCCATCCTCCAGAAGAGCGGCTGACCTGACGCCCGGGGAAACGGCTCGCTGAAAATCCTGAGCTGCCGTCGGACGCCCAGGTGATTTCATTTGTGCTCATATGCAAAAAATCTTTGTGCAAACCACACAATGCCCGTCTGTTGATGACAGCTGTGGCTCAGGTCTGGGGAAACGGACTGAAATAACTTCAGTGGGTCTAATCTGAGTCACGGCCATTTCGGGGTGCCAATCCAAACAACTTCCTAAGGTTCACACCATCTGACGATGACCTTTAATGTGGAGCATCTTTAGGGCCATTGCACTTCGGACTGGACTGGTTCGGATCTAGTCGATTGGGGGACCGCGTTGCGATGTCTAAACAGTTAGGGGTGGCCTTTCCAGCGTTAGGGTTAATGGACGAGGCCCGGTGCCTGGATCCTGTCATGTTTACTCCAAGCTCATGAACATCACTGTTAAGTCTGCCTGGCCTGAAACGGCTGTCTTAGCATCAGCAGCTGCAGTTTCAAGTGGGTGGAGATGAGAGTCCATCTGTGGGACAGAGGGCTCACTGCAAAAGCCCATGAACATCACCTACAGCCACCAACAGCAGTCCAGAAAAGCACCTCACAACATCTGAGTGAAAACAGGTGGCAGGGGTCGGTTAAATCCAAACTCTGCCTCTTCGGGAGGACTTCACCGTGACCGGGTATGAACAACAGACTCTCTGATCATCTCTCTGAGCAGCTTATCACTAACAAGTTTACTTAACTTAAGACAATACAAAGCAGCCTCTCGGTTGTGACTGTGTGTGTCTCTTCTAAATGGATTATCTCAAAACTCATTCCTTTCCACAGTCTATTTTTGCCTCCCTCTCTTTCTAATTACACTTCTGATATACAAGTAGTAAAGAAGGACAAACCCAGGACAAGTGAAAGCCAGCATTTCAAACCAGCTGACCCGGCCAGCACACAAAACGTTATGGGGTGGCAGCAGGTACAAGGAAAGAAAAAGGAAAGGCTCAGTTCAAAAAGCGACAGTTCAGAGGACGCCCTTAACAGCGACCCCCCGTGAAGGCCTGCGCTAACAGGAGCAGGGCTGGAGAGAGGAGAGATAAAAGAATAGCCAACTATTTTCAGCAGTGCAGCACAATGCAGAGGCAGCAGCTCCATTCTTTTTCTGCCCCTCTGTTTGTTTGCTCAAATGTGTTCAGTTCTTGTGATTAAATGACACAAAAATGCATTGATTGCCTTTGGAATATTTTCCTGAATAAGCTCCTTCAGACCACCGATCTGAGGCGGGGAATGGGCCGGCTGAAATGAGGATTTAGTAACAGCAAATCAGGAGCCATCTGAGCTCACGTCAAGATGGCCAGCTCCGTCGAGGTTTGATGGATCAGTGAAGACTTTTTTTTTTTTACATCAGTAACAGGGAACCATGTCTGACGGGTTGCTCTTTGTATTTTGCCAAGACATCTCACTAATCTGTTTTGCCACTGCAGTTAACGTTGTCCGACGTGCAACAGGGATGAAATGTAATAAAGCAATTGCGCGTGGTCATCTTGTGGCAGGAGGACTTTGCCCGGTAATTCCATCATACAATCCGGTGTTGGCATGGTAAGAAAAATAAATAAATAAAATCCAGTATCAATCTGATCAGCGCAAGACTTCCCTTAATTCTAAATCAACAGAATATTGTCAGAGGTAGGACAACTATTAAAATTAATTATATCAAGCATTTACTACAGTACACACTTTGTTGTGGAGTGTCTATAAATAGAGCCGCACAGCTCACCTGACTTCACTTTCTGTTTAGTTCTGCCTGTAGAGACAGAGGCTGACATCACAGCGAGGCTTCGGTTAAAATCATTGCGATACATGAGAGAGACCCATACCACGGCATATTGTCAGGAACTGCAGACTCCTCTAATGTGACCTACATTCACCACCACTGATTGAATATTTCTAATCAGGGTCAAATACTCAAATCAGCACGATCAGCACAAACTGAAATGTTTCCAGCTTCAGAACTGGTGGTTTTGCAGATGAGAGTCAACACCTTACCACTTCTGTGGAGGTCTCTGTGTGCTCTGAGGCCACGTGCTCCTGCAGGGAGATCTCTGTGTAGCCCATCCTGCCACAGTAGGGACATGTGAAGGCCTGGGGCTGCTCCACCGAGAAGGCCTCTCCACCATAGTACAGGTCTGACACAGAGAGAAGATGGAGACTCCGTCACATTAAATAAAAGAAAAGAACTTTTTTTTTTTTTAAAACAGAACATATCAGAGGCTAACTGACCAAAATTATCTTACTTATCATTGTAAAGTTCTCTAGAGGCTGACAATCAAAGGGTTTGAATGGTCTTGTGAGAAAAAAAACTAAAACAAAGCTTACTAAAAATAAACACAAATGGACCTGAGGAAATTCAACATTCCTGAAGGCTCACATAAACCCCACCAGTACACAGACCTTCTACAACCACAGCGAACATTACAACAGAGCATTTTTACTTCTTTTTTTTTTGCATATTTACACTGGTCGAAAAACTTCAGATACTGTAGTCCAACGCAGCCAAAAGGAAACAGAATATTGTTGTTCCTTCACTGTTTCTGCCTCTGGAGCGTTCAGTCTTGGAAAGTTCAGAATGAGCGGCAGCCCTCAGAGCACCAACAGCAGAAAATAACTGTCAAATGCTTGTTCTGGCAGGTGTACCTGTCTCTTAAAAATGATATCTTTGGGATGAATGGCTTTAGGACGCATCAAGCCAGACTACATTCACTGTCATAACGCCTGTGTGGCAAAAGGCTTCACACTGTTGCCTGTGTTGCTAAACAAAAGGTCAAATTAAAAACAAATTACAGTAAAAGTAAAAAAAAATACAAAATTAAAACATCGCCCTTCAAATGTTTTTATTCTATGTTGCTGGATTACCAGGCAAAGATACTAAAATGATTTTTGAAAACCTTCCTGCTTATTCCATAAAATGCTCAGATTTCATAAAGCCTTTTTCAACAAAACACACACACACAAACACACTTTAAAAATCAAATAGCTCAAACTTTTCCACATAAACCTTGGATCTGTAGTGCAAAGACAGATATTGTATGGCTAAGTTTGTGGTTAATAATAAACAAACAGAAAAAAAAGGACCTTTCTATAAGCTTGTAGCGTAAATGGAGTTTCTTTTTTCCTTTTCACTGCGTTAAGGATAAAATAAACAAATAGAACATGTCACACCAGAAAAGAGAAGGAAATATACTTCATTAGACGTTCAAGACTGATAAAAAAAAGTGTAAACGTGTAAGTCTAACCTAATTTATATGAAACAGATTAAGTCGGTCATCATGTAGGTGGGGTCAAATCAGTCCTGCAAGGAAATCCAAGAAACTCTCCCTCTGCTGACAAGTTCCTGATTTCATAGTTGCAGCATCAACATAGAGACAACATCCATGTCGTGATAGAAGTTCTGCTTATATGACTATCTCATGTAAGCAGAACTATCTCTCACAAAGAAAGTTAAAAGTCTAACCCGAATGGACACAACTGCACTTTGTGCCCTTTATGCAGAAATAAATCTCCGCTGTGTCAAATCCACTGCCTGCCCATTTAAAAACAAAAGATAACGCAAACCATTTCACCTGTTTGAGCTTCTCCAAGCCACAGCGAGCCGGTCAGGTTTGCAGAGACCACGATTGGGATTATCAATCAAACTAATTCCCATCGTTTATCATTTAATGCTTTTCTTTCCTGAAAGTCAGACAATAATAAAAACCTCAGATCAAACCACCTGTTCAGGTGGATATGTCAAAAGAGCCACATGTGTTCATCGCTCGCTAAGCATTTCTGCATAGTTGGTATACAGACATAGTGAGTGTAAGGTTTTTTCCTCCATACTTTATCTGATGTGAAGCTTAATGTCTTGGACATCAACCAGCTGCATATTAGTTTACTACAGTCACTCAAACATTCAGACATTAAGGTGGTAAACTACGGTGAAAGGCAGCTTTTAACACAAGGCATGTGGGTTTTCTGCATGGTCATTTTTAGAACTGACTTGTCAAGATGCAGAAATGTTCACACATTGTGAATAACGGCTGTACTTTATCGCCTTTTTGATGTTGACTCTGAATACCTTTAGACCTAGACAAAGTGTTGCATTAAAACCCTTTGTCTTAATGGATAGCGCAGCAAAACATTTCAAACAGCAACCAACCAATGAAGAAACACGGACAGCTCTTGCAGCAATGATGAACAGCGTATTGGGTTTCTCTATCGGCAAACGACAAGCCTGAAGCTGAATATAAACTCTTCTTACCAAAGTCAACTCGTGTTAATATACACTGCATGGGGTGCTCTGTTGTGTGTCTGGTCGTTGTTGCGCCGCTCTCGTAGCACGATGCGCACAGGTCATAGTCGTAGCATATTAAACATTTGTACCGTCGGCCTCGGAAGTTGCCTTTTAAACACGCATCGCAGCTCACACCTGAAAGAGAAAAGTTCAAACACAACAAGGAAGGTTAGGAAAGTGTGTGCGTCCGCCAGGTTATTTCTCACTGAAATCATTGGGAAATACATTTCTTTTAACATCTCTCTTGCATATCCTTAATCATTTAGGTGATGGATGTCGTCGCTTGAAAACAAAACAAACAACAATCAGGTCAATATGAATCAACTGAAAAGTTCATTTTTGGACAATGAAATGCGCTACAATAAATGCTGTATTGTATTTTCAGGACTGTGATGGTTTATGTTCAAAATTGCAGTTAAAGAAAATGTCTTAAAATAACCTATTTGAGGCAAAAACAAGCTATGAGCCGAGGCATTAAGAACCTAATACTGTCCGTTATTACTGTAAGGACACCCGGCTGGAACATGTAGAAGCAGAATTTTACAACTTTATAAAACTTCTGCCACAACCCCAATATCATTTCTAAAATAGCCTGGGACAATTAAGACTTGTCATTACAGAGGTTGACCTGGTGTGTCACGTGGCACAAACAGGACCCTCAGTGCTGAAGATTGACTGGGACAGTCGTGCAGCTTTGGTGGATTCAGTGACACAGGACTGTCTTAAGTCCCTCATATCCACGCTCGCAGCCAGCAAGTTAAACCCCTCTGAACAAACCTGAACCTGCTGCTCCACGTCTGCTAAAGAAACTGTCACGACCCAAACAAAGCACCGACATCTCAGAGATACATAACTTGACAACTACTGACAGTAAAGTTGACCACAACAACACTAGCATGGGATAAAGAGGCCGCCCCGGCCTCACTAACCCTTGCAGCTAGCTAACTAGTTAACAAACAAACCAGCTCTCGTTAGCTTACATGTTAGCTGACAATCTCTTCCGTTGAGGTGAACGTCCATTGAGTCAAGTTTTTAAATGACAACAGATACGTGTTGTTTTCCAGTGTGACTCGACAGTAACTACGAACTCACAGCCGAACAAGGTTGGCCACAAGGACGGGGTGAATGTTAGTTTGCCATTTGTTAGCTTACAAAACTGGAATTCACAGGCCAACTTCCATCAGGAAGGAAGCTAAAATGGGCTAACGTGAACCATGTACGAGCTTAGACCCTGCAATGCCATCCGGTAATTGCTACTCTCTTGTGTTGCCTTTTCGCGACACTCCTCTTGCTTTCCAACGATTACCTACATTACCAGATTGCTGGCACGCTAGTTAGCATTTAGCTAACATTAACTGCCGTCTTCCGCTTATGTGACAACGCTGAATAATGTGAAGTTTGAATCGTTCGCGAAAACAGTGACAGCACGTGAAAAGTAGATTAGATAATCATTTTGATGCCGCCATAACGCGTCTCCGTTAACCTGAACCGCAACACTGCTTCTAGTGCTTGCCAACGTTAGCTAGGATGAGCTGCAAAATAGGAAATTATTGGCTAGCCAGCGTTAGCTCGCGGTGCACTGTCAACGTTTTTTTTTTTTCTTTTGCCTCAAATCCTCACTTGCTCACTGCTCGGTGTTGCGGCTAACCGTTACCTTCATGGCGGGACATCCTACGAACACTGACGCAGCCCCCTGCTCGGGCTCCCGGGCTTTGCAATGTGGAATAATTTGAGAGAAGAGAAGAGAAGCCGGGGCTGGCTGACTGTCCCTGGCCTCTTCCCTCATGAAGGATCCGGTCTGGCTCTCAGCCCTCCTCCGCCTCCTGCTGTGTCACCGTGCAGCGTGTCGCCACTCCGGCCGCTTGGTGGCGCTGTGGTCCAATATTTGGTTCCGCTGTTTCCTCGGCTGTTGGGTGGTTGATCTATAGTAACCCCACTGCTACCGTTAAAAAAAAATAAAAAATATATATAATATGATAAAACAACATTTTTGGTCAAAATACACATAAACACTCAACAAAATACAATTACCTATCTATGGTCCAAGAAATATACATCCTATCCATCCACCCAGCAAATTAACATCTGTTAGTCTGTTAGTGTGAAGAGAGCATAGACGACGTGTGAGTATCAATGTCTTAAAGGAGATCCCAAAGGTGACGGCATGTGTGCTTAACCCACGAAAACAGTGCAAACCAGTACAACCAGTAACACAAAAAGCTCATTTGTCTGCAAATCAGCCCTCTGCTCTCAAGTAACTATTCCAATAGAACAAAACGTCAGCTGGTTGAAATGTTCTGTGAACTTATAGTCACCGACAGAGTCCTGCGGCTTTAGGGTCCAGTTTTAGCAATGAACGCTTTCTTTTTTCAAAGGTTTTTGGCTTTAAAGCCCTGAAAGTTTCATGTCTTTGTTGGATTTATTTGGATTTTGCAGTGAAACAGAACAAAGAAAGCCCTTAGACGTATGAAACTGCCTTTATTTTTTCGTGCTCAAACCTCAGGAATGAGTAAAAGCTACACCTGATGAAGATGTTTAAACAACACACTTTCTGCTGTCCTTGCAGATTAACATCCCGAAAAGTACCTGATTATTTGACTATTGCACAGTGCCACCCTGTTGGCCCTGTGCAGATGGACTGGTCAGCTCACTGTCCATTCAGTCCGGCTCTCAGACTTGGCAGTATGTGGATGGAAACAATAACGACTCTTTCATGGGATATCAACCTTATCTTTGCGGCTGAATGATAGTTTCGGACATCTTTATGATTCTGGGAAAGCCCTGGGTTTATTTTCTAATATGTGTTTTGTTAATCGTCCTTCTCAAATAAAGTTTCCTCCCTGGTGCCACCTGCAACTGATTTTAAATCAGTTCTCCACCACACATTAAAGTTAATGAAGCTGTCACTGTAAAACTTTGAATAATAATACAATATTTGTTTTGCTTTGAACACATGTCTAAAACACATTGTGTAAAAGCAGGTTTAGTAACAACAGTGTGACTGCATTGTTCAAACGCTGCTTCATTGACATACTTGGTTAGGTGGAGGGAAAATGCCAGCAATGTTTGCTGCTGCCTTTTACATCTCACCTCTGGTGACGACGATAAAGATGTGAGAAATCTTCAGAATGTCACGTATCGACAGAGCCAGCTGTTAGCTTAGTCATTGAATTAAACTCAGAATGTTTCATGTTTTTAGGAAGTATACCATTCATTTGAGCTGAAATGCTCAGCTATATACTGACAAATCTAAAAATAACCACATCTGTTCTTGTTAATGCTCCTGTTGGCGCTAAACAGCAGTGAGAATTCCGAACAATAACAGGAGGATTTCAATAAGAAAGAAACGAGTGACAGGCCATCAATTGTATTGTTTATGGCTGAACTTTGATGAATATAACAGGTTCTTCTTCTGGCATCTGCAGCTCTGTCAGGGACAAACTGACAGCTGGAAACAAAAAATGAGAGTTCTCTTGTCAAAGGTCAAAGGTCAAATGAATCGCCAGAACACCGTGCTGTTCGGTTTAATGAATCTTCCAGATGATTGGAAGAAAGTGAAAAATTAGCTGCAAAACACCTGTAAAAATATAAACCGGAATGATTTGAAGTTGGAAACTTCTGACAAAAGTTGAAGTTATGAAAAACAGCATCACGAGGATCTGAAGCACAATCAAAAGTAGTTTAAGACCTTCATTTTCACCTGAGTACTTCTAAAACGATGCACTGTGCAGGATTGTTTAATTGAAAAGGAGAACAACGGACAACCGAGCACCATTTAAAGACAAAGAAGTAGAATTCTCATTATCGCTGATCTTAGGTACAAAAAAAAGGGAACCACAAACAGAAGATAGATTCGAAATTGACAAATTTACAGAGTAAAGCTGACAATGAGTTACTGAGTCTATCCAGTGGGCAGAGAAATTGCAGAAGTGAAAATTCAAACGTAAAATAGAGGTTTCACATTAAGCTGGATGGTACAGTATGAAGGTTGGTGTGTGCGGTTGTGTGTACGCTCCATTGCTTTCTGTGTTTTATAACGCGTTTCTATTTGCTGGCCGTGTGTGACACACAGAACGGGGTTACGGCTGCGGGACCGATCCCAGCTGAGCTCATTCCGCTCAAAGAGGCATTTCACAGGCCAGCTATACCTTGAAAATGAAGCTGACATGGTGAGGGATTCAACAATGCTCTGGTGCTTTCATTTTTTTTAATCGAACCAGAAATACAGAGATGGAAGTGGCTCTCCTCCATTTTTCTGACTGAAAATGAACATTGCTGTCGATGGGGAGGATTAGAAGGTTTTACTGCCTAAATTAAAAAAGATTAGCTGCTCATTGTTACATGAGCCATACATTTTATCATTACACAATGCTTAAGCGGGGTTGTGGTTTTCCGTGGTATATTGTTCAGTCAGGTGTCTCCAGTTGGCACGCAAGAGACATCTCGTGCACGGATGAGGTCTATTTATGATTCAGAGGAAAGAATAGTCATATATGTACGTGATTTGATTGAGGTTGCCTGCGGCTGGGGGAAGAAGCTCCCTTTACTGCAGTTATTCTGAGCTCTGCATCTCGCACCTGCATCGCGTTAGGCCTTCACCTTGAGCTCCGACCCCATCCTCCTCCTCTAAAAACATCCTCGTGCGTCTGAAAAGTTCCTAAACGTGCCGCACGGTACCCGACGCTCGCTTTTGTCCGCTGAAGAATCCTTTTTCCGCGGCAGAGGGAGAACATTGTTGCAACACTGAGGCGTGCTTTATCTTATCATTTGAACTATAGTAACCTCCAGCAGCACGCTGCACCTGCAGAACCACTCAACTATTAATACGCGCCGCCGAAAATAGGTCGACTTATTTCTCACATCGCTGTGCCGTTAATTTATACTAAGTTTTCTTTTTTTTTGTCCCTGAAGAGAGCATTTTTAAGCATTCGTGGCAGCTCTTTGCAGACTTCGATCCTTTTTTTTAATCTTATTTACCTTTGATATAGATACACACTGTCAATATTTGGGGCTCAAATAGGCTTCGGAACACTATCTACGTCCTTCCGTCTGGACTCATTGTGATAGGTAACACATTACTGCCCAGTACAGGACGTCAACAGCACCCTGAGTGCAACAAGAGGCGCTACATTGTCGCTGCGAGGGGTTCTGTTCTGAGGGAACTCTCTTTGTCCTTCAGGTCCGCTTTTGATTTCTCCACAAACAGAAGAAAAAGAAACATATAGATCCTTGCTACCACCTCCTTCTGGGGAATGTGAGCAAAAGCACGAGATCAGACTCAGCAGCTGAACAATGAGACGTCTTTGTCTCCGGCCTGGTGGTCACGCAGAACCTCAAACCCAGTGACCCACTTGTAAACGTGCTGCGAGACTCCGGTTTGCATAGATGCGTTCAAAAAAAAAGAAAAGAAAAAAAAGAGAGAGAGACAGTTTATGAGCCAGGTACCAGGGTTCTGCCGTGGGTGGCAGGTGTCACTTCCTCCTTCTGATGTGTACACCAAACACTGGCGTTATTGTAGGGGGGAGGAGGGGGGGGGGACCCTTTGCGTGAGCGAGCCCATTCTTCCCCTCATCAATTGAACCCCGGTCGGTGTGAGCTAAGCTGATGGATTGGCAGCCAGCCAGGATGAGGGGAGGATGTTTTCGTGGGGTAGAATGCATCGCCATCCCCCCACACAGCCCTTTAAATATTCCTCGTAGGGGGAGTGGGGGGGGCGGGGGGTGAGGAAACTGTGGTTTGCTTCGTGTGATCGCAAAACCATTGTTGTTGTTTTTTTATTGTTTAAAAAAAAAAAAAGAGAGTCCAATGTCTTGGGAAACACGCCCGTTTTGAGGACTAGGCTATCGGCGGCGTGAACGTGTCCCGGAGGCGTGCGTCCCGCGGAACAATGCGCGTGCGTGGGCTCCACACCCCGCAACGTGAGAATACTACGGCTTCATTGAGCCACGCCACGCCCTCAACGTAAACAAATGGGGGTTTGACCAATAGGATCCGCGGGAGATCAGCCGATGATCAGATGACTGAAAAGGGAAAACTATTTAAAACTCAAAAGACGAGCCGAGAGGCAGGTTAAACAGTTCTGGTTCTCACCGAGCAGCACACCCGGCTTTAGTCTCTCTCTCACGCCACCGGGCTCAAACTCTTTCCGAAAAAAAAGAAAAGAAAAAAAAAAACTTAAGAAGAAACGAACGAACTAAAGAAGCACATTATACGTTTTTAGATATACGGAAAGCTTTTTACTCGCTCCTCTCGTGGTTGGAACAGAAATGAGTCACAAAGCCGCCTTGCTGTGGATTTTCCTGTGTTGTTCTGTGTCCTTCGTTCCCGCTTTGGGGGAAAACGCTGTTCTTAAAGGTAAGAATGGGCTCCACTCTTCCTTTTCATTGACCGTTTTATCTTTCTGTGACTCAAACCGACGTGGCTCGATGGGACGTCACGCGCCGGGGCGCGTAACGTTTCATGAATGGGCATTGGGGCAATTTCTTTATGTGTCTCTTTTTTTTTTCTTTTCTCTTTCCCCCCCACCACGTTTCTGTTTGAGTGGAATTTGTTTTTTTCAAAACGGTTTCGAACGCGAGCAAGTGCGTCTGAGCGAACCACACGGAGTCCAACAACCCCCCCAAAAAAAAAGAACCGGGCTGGACTCAAGAGCTAAGACTTTGACGTGTTCTTTCTGGGAAAACCGGAATCAGAGACAGCCATTTAAAATAAGATGCTCCGCTGATTCTGCGTTTCCACCAGCTCATATTTTGGTCTGTGGCCACTAAACCGAATGGTCTTCGTGTTGGTTGGGAGGGAATTGGACCTTTTTAATTTAATTTTTCAATTTTATATTGGTCTTTTAAAATGGAAAATGGACTCTGTCCTTTTCAAAGTTGTGATTAAAACTCTCAAACTGCGGCTGGAGACTACTCTCGTCAAGCTAACCCCCCCACCCCTTACCCCCCTTCAGATGAGATCAAACCGGTTCGTGGCATTTTCAAACTGCCTCGCGGGGCTTCTCGCAGCAAATAGGTGTAAGTGCTCCGTTTTGGCCTCCGGCCCGAGCGCAGCGTGTTAAAAACCTGACGTGATTACAAGCTGCAGCTGCGTAAGGGGCTGAAACGAAAGCCGGGTGGTTGGGAGGCTTTGGCTCTTGCGTCCTCGGTCCAAGTTGCTTTCACCAGCAATTGCAGTAGCAGATGTGCTCCACCAGCTCCTCCCAGCCATGGGGGGGGTTTAGTTTCTTCAACCAGTTCAATGGGTTTTAACGGAATACGCTTTTTCTGTGTTTGTGTCTCAGGTGCTGATGATGGAGCCATGGACGAGTTCTCTGACAGCAAAACCCAACACGGCACGGTCAGGTACAACATGAGGAAGAGTCTGGACCTGGAGCAGGAGGGCTGCTACCTGCAGATGGGCCGGAAGACGTGTCTAGAGGAGTGTGGCTTCAACGCCACCGCCAAGTCCATCTTCATCATCCACGGCTGGACGGTAACTGTCTTTCACCCAGACCTCAGTCAACATAAGAGGCCTAAATCTGGGATGGAGCGTGCTCCTGTTTTAGTGAAGTGAATCACCGCATGAAAGACTAACTTTTTTTTCTTTTCCCTTTGTTCTCAGATGAGTGGCATGTTTGAGCGCTGGATGCACAAACTGGTGTCCGCGGTGATGCAGAGGGAGCAGGAGGCCAACGTGGTGGTGGTGGACTGGATCCCCATGGCTCAGCAGCTCTACCCCGACGCCGTCAACCACACGCACGGCGTCGGCCTCGACATCGCCGTCATGATCAACTGGCTTCAGGTGTGTAGTCGTACCAACCCGCATTCTTTCCTCTTGTTGTTGCTGAAACGGAAGCCTTTCATCCATTTCTGCAATTAGACTCTTTCTTCCGAGTCCCTCTTCTCAAAGAATCACTCTCGCCTGCTTATTTATTTTTGTCAAGAGGGACAGGATTTCGGTATGTGGGGCGGACATGCGTGGATTTGAGTTATTTCATAGAAGCTCACATGTGAGCTAAGCACTCCAGCTTCAGACTTTTAGGGATTGATGGGAAATCAACTGAGTTTGAGGGCCTAAAACTCACCTTTTAATGCCTCAGTCTTGCAGAGCGTGGTATTGGCCCTCCCTTTGGAGGGGTTCTACATCCCTTTCTGCCATGTGCTCGCTGCTGCTTGCTATGCATGAGATCGCTTTGACATTGCAGCTTGACTTTTTTTTTTTTTTTCTCCAGCCAAGCTTAAGGATTATATTAGCACATCTCCGAGTAAACTCGAGCGTGTGTGTTGGGCAGAACAATTAGGCCAGTGTACAAGCCGTGAGCGGGGAGGGATTCGGGCGTCCCGCCATGCCCGTGTAAACGCGGGCAGTGTTTCTCTGAGATGAGCTGAGACGGATGATGAAGAGGGCCGGGAGTCGCCTCTGCCCGGGTCCCACTGAGCCCGGCTCAGCTGCCGACTCCGGTCGTTCCCGAATGAAACCCAGGAAGCAGTTGCTCAATGGCTTCTTTTTTTTCCCCTTTTGAACAGGATGAGCTGCAGCTGCCACTTGAGAACGTGCACCTGATTGGCTACAGTTTAGGCGCCCACGTAGCCGGCTACGCGGGAACTTTTGTGGAAGGCACCATCGGCAGAATCACAGGTAAGCTGACTGCATCATGACCCCCCCCCCCCCCCCCCCCCCCCCCCCACGGGGGGGGCCCCCTTTTCCCCCCGCCCCCATAACTTCCCGTAGGTCTAGATCCCGCGGGGCCGATGTTTGAGGGCGTGGAGGAGGAGAAGCGCCTCTCCCCGGACGACGCCGACTTCGTGGACGTTCTGCACACGTACACCCGAGAGGCTCTGGGCGTGAGCATCGGGATCCAGCAGCCAATTGGGGACGTGGACATTTACCCCAACGGAGGCGAGGTGCAGCCCGGCTGCGGGCTCGGCGACGTGCTGGCAGTGGCAGGAAGTGAGTACCCGCCCAGCTCCCTCCCCCCCCAAACCATTCCCGTCTCTTCAAGCCGCCTCCTGACCGAGTGCTTTAATCCCCTTAGATTTCATGGAGGTGATGAAGTGCGAGCACGAGCGGGCCGTGCACCTGTTCGTGGACTCGCTGATGAACAAGGAGCACGTGAGCTTCGCCTTCCAGTGCACCGGCCCCGACCGCTTCAAGAAGGGCATCTGCCTCAGCTGCCGCAAGAACCGCTGCAACAACATTGGCTACAACGCCAGGAAGATGCGCAAGAGGCGCAACAGCAAAATGTACCTGAAGACCAGAGCTGACACTCCCTTTGGAGGTAAGCCCGGATATGGAATGAATGCGCTCTTATCTCTGCTACCCAAGTGATAAGCCACCATTAGAGCCCTTTTTATCGCCTTTGTTTTTATGAGACACGTGAGTTACTACTACACCCACTACCAGCGGCTTAAACATTAACAGTGCTTTGTTTGGACCTTTTTTTTCCTTCTCCTAGGCTACCACTACCAGATGAAAATGCACATTTTTAACAGGAAGCAGTCGGACAACGCAGACCCCACCTTCTACGTCAAGCTGTACGGCGCCCACAACGATACGGCAAAAATGCTCGTTGTGTAAGTTCTAAGTTCTTACTTGGTCCCTCCCAACAAGTCACTTCTCAGGGAGAGACTTGACGTGACATTGCATGAGTAGAAAAAAAAAAAAACCTGGCCAGCCTCCCCTGCTCGACCCGGCAGCTCCCCCCTGCGCCGGGCAGATAAGCACTAAAAAAAGCAGCAGTGTAAATCTGGAATCTGAACCAGTGTCCTGCTGGCGCTGACCTTTTCCAAAGTGTCTTGTCACATGGATTTGCGGCGCACGACGAGCTCCAGTTTGTGTAGCTCAAGCTTCTATTAGCGCAACGGCATGGCATGGTGCCATCTATCTAGAGCGGCTTCAGAATGAGATTTCCTTTGTCTCTCTGCCCCTGCTCGGGTTTTTCCCGATGCAGAACCGAAATGCATGCCTCCAGTTCAAAATGACACTTTTTAAAAATTCATCCCGGGTTTCTTCTGTTTCGTGCAGCCATGACGACGTGATCGGCCTGAACCTGACGAACACCTTCCTGGTCTTCACCGACGCGGACATCGGCGACCTCCTGAAAATCAGCCTGACCTGGGAGGGAGAGTCGGAATCGTGGAACTCTGTCTGGAAGACCTTCAAGAAGTCCCTGTGGGCCTGGAACGCCAAGCCCCCCAAGCCTGTGCTGGAGGTCCGGCGGATCCGCGTGAAGGCTGGAGAGACGCAGAAGAAGTGAGCTCCACATTTCCGCTTGATAAAACTCCAGTTTCATCCCCATGGGCAAAATCTAAATGTCCTTTTTTTGTGGTTTCAGGTTTACTTTCTGTGCGCAAGACCCTTCAAAAACCGAGATCTCGCCTGGGGAGTCCTTAACCTTCGTCAAATGTCGTGATGGCTGGGAAGTCAAACCAAGAAAACGGTACTTGAAATCCGAATATTAGTAGCTTTTTTTGGGCGCCATTGATTCCGTAAATGCCGTGCAGGGTGTAATTCTGCTGGTCTTTGCTCCGCAGGCTGCTCATGTAACAAAGTGGCGCCGCCAGTGACCAATGCACCGACACCACGGGGGACCCAACACGGAGAAGCTCCGCCTTCTCGTCATTTGAGCACTTTTTTTTCTTTGGAGGATTGATCTGCATTTATTTTCAGGGGGGGGGGGGGGGGGGGGGGTTACAGGTCACAGACCCCTTATTGTTTCCAATGGCCTCAAATTGAGGACTAAAGGGGTTTGTGTGGGATAAAGGGTGGCTGCAAAGTGATGCGCAGGCTGGTTAGCGGTGGCAGTCCTATATGTGTTGAGATTGTTCGTAAAGTTGCAGACGGTTCTTTGTATGTTTGTTTGTTTTTTTGTTTCCGTGTGAAGTAGAATACAAATCTGTGCCAGTGAACTGAGACAGTTGTAGGAGAAGTAGCCTTATTGTACATTTTTAAATATTTTTATTTATGGAAAAGAATTGAAGCACTGCAAGACCAATGTTATTTATCAGAACACATCCCAGAGAAGCACATGTTGACTTTCTTGCAAATGCAGTATTTGTGGTGTGTGTGTCTGTGTTTCGAAGTGTGTATGTGACCAAGACGTTTGCCTTTTCTGCTGAGAGATTACAACACACTGTATAACTTAAGATGATCCGTTACATAATGCTAAGAGATTCTGTGCATAGTGTTACAATGTCTTTATAACTTTTGGGATGTGTCTGTACATAATGTAAATAACCTTTCTTTTTTGTTTGTTTGAAAATAAATTCATCTGTTTGTAGAAGCTGTTTCCTGCACATTATTTTAAGTAATGGCTGTACAGTGGTTGTCAGATTTACTCATGCACTTACTGGTAAACTAAGCTGAACATCTGACAGTTTGGATATCTTCTCTAGTAATCTCTTAAATCCTACAAGTCAGACTTGAAGTCATTTCCAGTTGGCATTCATTCTTGGTGCAAATCCCTCTGCGTTTTTGGGAAAAGGTGATCCTGCAACCTTTTGGATGAGGTTTCATACTTTAAAGACCTAAATGCTTGTGTTGCCCAAAATCCAAACCTCTCAAAGACTGGTTGCACTTCTAATCAACATTGGTAATGGAAGTTGTTTTACATCAATCAAGTCTCGAGCAGAAGCTCGACGCCACTTGTACAGCTTGTATGCAAAGTAGCAACTCCTTGTTAAAAAAAATCAAAAAGTCGTGGCATCCTACAGTACAGCTACCACAGTGGGTGGTGGCAATGAGGTGGACCATACTATATCATTTAAGATGCACCCACTATTTGACCTCGTTCGTACCTGGACAGGTCTTTACTGTGCAGCCAAAGGGGTATTGACAGAACTGTTATCATGTATCAGTCCAGAATTCCAGGGGTGAAGTTCAGGATGGTGCTTGTTTGCTGATGGAGGGAAAGATGTGATTAATTTAATTTGCATGCTCAGAGATCAAGGCAACATAGAGGGACTTTGAGTAGCAATGGGAGCTTCAGAAAGGGGAGGCAAATTCCCTCTTTTAATCAGGATGAGGCTTTTTAGGTGTACTTCTGTAGAAAGTCTTTCTCGATGGACTCAAACACTTTTTTTTGTGTCGATTGCTGTGGCCCATCAGCTTAAGTTTCGCTTTCAAAAGAGGATGGCAGTTTCATGGAGATGTTCCTTTTTCACATGCCTGTTCATGTTCCTCATAAATAAATGCCAAAATCCAGGGGAACTCCAGCCTGTTAAACGGAATACCTCGTTGCAAAAAGCCAAGCAGGGTTTGTTTGGAAACGTGTCAACACTTTAAATTCAATCTTTTTTTTTTTTCTTTAAATGGAACAATTTATTGATGGAACATCTGTTTGAAAGAATTTGCAACTCTTCCACTGCTTTTCAAAGAGCAAACACAGCACCCCTGTGGAGGAGTTCTGGATCCACACTCATGCCACAAAGTATAATTTGCAGATGTGGTCAGTTGCATTCTCTCCACAGCCATCCGGCTATGTAACGTGAGCTTGGAAATGCCTTCTGCTCTTAATCTTGCTATGTTTGCAGAACATGCTTAAAATCCCAATGTGGGAAAAACACTGTTTTTGTTTTGGCCAAATAACGTAGTGCCTACATTTCCCCCTGAAGGCGAATACCTTCATCCAAAAGACTGCATTTTGAGTTTTGGCTTCCTTTCAAAACGACAATAAAAAACAAAGATAAAGCCTGCGTGTCGACGGCTGCATCCGTTTAAACCAGAAAAAAGGTTTAGCATGTTGGATTGCTTTGTTTTCAAGTATTTACACCATAAACTATAATGGAGGATCATTATCTTTCACTGACCCCATTACCTTTGGTAATAGACCAAAGGTAATGGGGTCATAGAGCAATGTTAGCTTTTCATTGTGTCTCAATTGAGATATTTCAAATTTCTTGGCCCACTACAATAAACTTTAGGCCACTAACTTGTGTCCTCATATCTTTCTAATTTATTTGTTTTTAAACCTTTATGAACTTAATCAATCTCAAGTAAGAGCTGTGCGCTGTTGTTATGAGGGAAGAGGCCCAATCCCACAGCCAGACTCAGCCAGAGGCCGCATGCCTTAAGATCTCTGTTTATTGTTTCTTTTGCCAGTAGATGCCATGTTTGTTCACAGGAGGCCATAATTACATCGTCATCTGGTCCCCAAAGCGAAATTATACGTTTGAAAAGCGTTGGAGACAAACCTGTCCCACATTTGCAGTCCATCTGCAAATTCCCGTTTCTATGTCCTGTGATGAAAGAGAAGCGTTTGCAAATCTAAATGCGGATGTCTTAATGCTTCCAGCTGGGCTGCTGCTACACACCACAAACAGGCCTGTGCTGCTGCTCGGTCCAGAGCCATGTGTCCTGCGGATCAAACGATTGGGCTGCCGACACTGTCACATGTTAGGATGTTGGCTTAATCGCAGTCGCGGGAGCCCCATGAATCAAGGGCCGAGAATGATGGGGGGGTGGGAGGGTATGAGAGAGGTCACCTGACCGATATCCCAGTTAAAGACCAACCTCTTTAAAGATGTGTCATGACGTCAGCGATCAGGGGAAGATAGACCTCCCAACATCCCCTCTATTTACTACGTGATGTCAGCTGAGTGGTTTCAGCATGTCAGTCTGGCAAGAGTTGAAAGCACTGAGGGCGCACGAGCTCGTTTAGTTTCCACATAAGATGGCCTTTGAATTTTCCACAAGGCAGGGCAGATATTGGACCTAAGAATTGTGAGTTAACCGAGGCTATGTTGCTGTGTTAAAGTTCAAAGAGGTGAAGGGCCACATGTGAAATCATAAAGAAAGAATATAAATTCTTGGCCAGAAGAACCTATCATTATGTTATTTTCAAAAATAATAAAAAACTACAGTGTCTGAAAGCAAAAATGTAGAGAAAAAAGTATATTGTGCTCACAAGATACGTCCTATTGTGCACAAGAAACTATTTTGAGCTCAATAGAAACCCTTCACTTTTTTCCCATGTCCCTTTAAGGGCTCCGTAGGTGCCACAATGAGTACACAAACAGAAAATGTCCAATTAATATTTTAATGAAAGTTATGCTCCACACCAATGGTTATATTTCACTATTTACTACTATTTCGCTGCTAAATTTTTTAAATAGCAGACCACGAATTCAAACATAATGCTGGTGAGAGAGTCTCTTGTTTCTCAAAAACTGCTTTCTTATTCTGATCAATAACGTAGCAGAATAAGACAGCTGTTAAATGCTCATTTAGAACATTAAGCATGATCCACCATTAAAAAATATGTACATTTACTGCAAGTTCTCACCGCATTCAGACTTAAATTTTCATTTTCTCTTTACTGTCATTCAAGGGTGCTAAAGAACTGAAACTCTGAGGAATACAGAAATGCTAACCTGCAGCAAATGGAAGACAGACAAAACAAGGGGATTCCCAGAATCAGATGGATTCTGTGTAATGTCTGAGCCAATGTCATGGAAAGTTGTGCCAAATATATCCGTGTCCTTATTTATTGTTTTGGCCGTGGACACTTCCACCAAAGGAGGCTGTGATGTCAATGAGAACAGATAAGAACAGAGCTCACATGCTGGAGAATGGGGATGTCATTTGGGAGGTCAGCTTTGAGCACAGTTGTCAACCTATCATACGTCAAGACGAATGTCCAATCGGGGGCTGGCTGCATGCTGAGGGGTCTATGTTTATATTTTGCAACTTCACGTTTGTTTACGGGGGGGTTATATTGGCTCTGTCACCTGGCCGCTGTGTAAGTACAGTATTTTTATGAGTGTGGCAGGGTGTGCCATTTTCCACACGAGCCCTCCCATCCTCCCATTGGCGGACGCCTCAACACTTGACACCACTGTTGCGCTGTCACATTAGTTTGACTCTGCTTCTCCCAGCTGTCTGGAGCGTGGGACCAGTGGTGCGCTGAATGACAGTGAACCTGACCTAGAGGTGTGCGAGGGGTGTCGGCAGCTGTCTCGGCCATCAGGTTTTTCTTTTGAAGATGGAACGCCAGAGGTCAAGTACATATTGACAGGGGCTTGTTGTACACCGTGTCTTTGCAGGGCCGAAGGTACAGACAATGTCAAAAACAAACGGTTACAGCGGGCGGACCATGTGTGGAGCCCCTCCTCATAAGCGGGCGGCCTGGGCTCGATTCCGGCCCATGGCCCTTTCCCGCAGGTCCCCCCCTCTCTATCTCTGCCCCCTTTCCTGTCAAGCTACTGTCATTAAAGGCCACTAGAGCCAACAAAATCTTTGAAAAAAAACAAACTAAGTGATGAAATAACTTATTTGATTTTGCTAGGGTCAGTTTTGACCATCGGGTCTGATTTGATTATGTCAGAGGAGCTCAATTTACGCCGTCTGTTCTTTGTGTAAATTAAGTTAAGCATCTCAGGTTTCTACACCCACTGGAGAAGCCCCTCCTTTAAATGTTTTGTTGTTGACAGCAGCTGACTTTCCAGCTGAGGATGCTTGAGGACACTGGTGTTGTTTCAAGTCCTATTGGATTTCTTGTTAGTGCACTAGACGGGAAAAGTGGTGTTTATTCAACGGAATTACAACTTATCTACTTAGTCAAACAAATGGGGAGAAGTAAAGGCCAGTCGGGGCCAGAAGCCATTGTCCTGAAGTCCACTTCCTACACAGCTGGACAACTGCCTGTTTCAAACTGCCCACTGCTGCCCTGAGTGGCCCTTTGCTCCAGACAGGGAATTTTATTAGTGGGCCATGTGCAACAGTGACTACATTTTTGCTGTAAAAGTGCTAAAAGAGGCAAAAATGAGAGAATCTGGTCAGCCAACAGAGGCGGATCAGGCCACAGAGGACCTCGTTAACACCGCCAGTTAGTTGGGAGCTTAAGTCAGCTTTAGTCTGAAACTTCGACTGTATAAAAATAAGAGTCTGTTTCTCAAGATTCCATTAACTGCTAAATGACTGTAGGAGTTTGATAGGGAAGATCTCACAGAGCTTACACCTGGGAAAAAGGTACTACATATTGTTTCTTCCCTTCCCACTTCAATTGAAACTGCAGCCGATTATTTAGGTTAAAAGCCAACAGACCTCCAGCGGCCATCAGTAAATGCTTCGGAGTCTAACGCTAAGGTGCAGCAGACACCTCTCACTCAGGTTACTCAGTTGCTCAGGAAACCATTGTGAAACCAAGACTTCCACATGGTGTCGAATTGACCCGTTGGACCTCCAGCAGTAGGTGCTGGGATGAAAATCTGCTAACAAATCAGCTCTCCGACCACGCAAATACTCCTCATGAGTCCCGTAAAAATGATTGACCAGCTAAACAAA